GAGCCTATTCTCACTCGGGATGATCTGTCTGATAGGAACGCCTTGATCCTATGAAGGATTTTCCCTTGAATCCCGTAAGACTCGAGTTTGTGGAGCAGCGGGACGTGTGGGACCCTATCGAATGCTTTTGAGAAGTCGAAAAATATTGCATCCGATATGAGTCCTTCGTCCTTGGCTTGGGTTAAGCTGTCCATAAACGCGAGCATGTTTGTTACGCAAAAGCGGTTTAGGAGAAATCCGTGTTGGGCTGGAGATATCAGATTGCTGGAAGTAAGGTGATCTAGGATAGCTCGCCTCAGAATGCGTTTCTTCACCTTGAGTTATGTCGAGAGGTGGTTTCAGGACTTCACGGTAGGGACGATATACTGCCCAGTTTCTTGCGCACTAGGGCCCTAGGAATTATTGCGGGCTATAACAATATATAAGACCATGGGAGATACGTCGGCTCAGGGTAAATGTGGCCATAATGAGACAAGACGGTCACAGAGGAAAAAGTCAGAACAGACCTCTGCTTACAAACGACGTAGAAAAGACATTAGGCACATTACCACGGGGTTTCTGGGTCCTATGCGAGGGGTGAAAATATTCCTGAACCCATAAATCCAAACAGAATGTTCCTCCCGCATTGTATTCTAGGTACTCGTCCGTCTCCACAATCCCGGGATCACGAAGGGAAGCATAACTTTCTTAAAAAGGGTTCTAGGGTACAACATTAGCGCATAAAAAATACTCTCAAGCGTGATAGCCTACGTCTCATCTACGCGATCACAAAGTATTGCTCCTTCTCACATACTTTCAGTAAAAAATATATATGTATATATGTATTTATGTATGTATGTATGTATGTATGTTTGTATGTATGTATGTATGTATGTATGTTTGTATGTATGTATGTATGTATGTATGTTTGTATGTATGTATGTATGTATGTATGTTTGTATGTATGTATGTATGTATGTATGTTTGTATGTATGTATGTATGTATGTATGTTTGTATGTATGTATGTATGTATGTATGTTTGTATGTATGTATGTATGTATGTATGTTTGTATGTATGTATGTATGTATGTATGTATATATGTGTGTATGTATGTATGTATGTGTGAATGTAAGTTTATATTTATGTTTGTACATATGTATGTGTGTACGCATGAATTTTGTCATTATTATTATCAACATTCAAAGCTCGCTGCTCCGATATGCGATATACACTGGTGGGTACCCACTAGTTTATTCCGGTTCGCATAAATTAGTCGGATAGTTGGAAGTTCAGCCCAGGCTTGGGAACAGATAGGTGGTGGACTCGGGAATGATGCCCGTAGATCGTCAAACCTTTGCAGAGAATGAGCTGTAAAACCATTTTCCTTCGCACGCCGGTGCAGTTTGCCAACAGGAGTTTTTTGACCTCCGATGAAGATGTTGGTGGAAAAAGCATTTCTACCCCGTGTCAAACATAAGTAGGGACTGCCCTGCTAAGCTTGTCGTGTACTGGTTATTCCCGGCCGAAGGCCGGCTGCTGCACGGCTGCACATGCCGGACGACACCAGGATTTTCAACCCTTGAAATTGGCGTACACCTGTGTCTTAGAAGCAAGTCGGTGAACACGTTCAACTTCAGGCTCTTTGAGATATGTGAACGCTGTGGCCCGGTTCTAATACCAGCCCGGAAAGAATCTCTGCATCTCATATCCCATAGTCGAAAAATTTCTTAACCATCTGTGGGATCGAATCCACCCCAAGATTCTGGCTGCCGATCCATAAACAAACATCGGAGACAGACCTAATTGGAACATGCGTTTTACATCCGTTCCGTTTAGAGTTATGAAAGAATCGATAAAAATTTAATGGAACCCCTTTCAATGAGCATAACCTAAGTGCCAAAACAATATTGGTTGCTGAAAGAATCATGTGCGACTTCCTGCCCTTATTAGTGCACAGGTGATCATAGCCATAGTACAAATCAGGAGGTGGATGCACTAATAAAAGTTTTTAACTGTGATTGACAGTTGTTTACAGGAGCGATTTGTGGCATGTATAAAATAAAGAGCAATATAAAATATGGAGCAAGTCAACAGGGAACTTATCGTGTATGGGAGTCCCTTGGTAAGAGTCCGGACGGCGGGAACATGTTTTCTTTGCAGCTTGGCTGCTGCACGTGTTCCATGGTTGTCCGTGGACTTGTTGAGAGGTTGACTTCCTGCTACCTGAGCGCGCGCGTCTGTGTGTGCTGACTGCGTTCGGTTTCTCTATATGTAGGTCCATTTGCGCGTACGTGGGCGCGTCAGCACGTGAGTAGTTCGTACGCTGTCTAGACGGTGCAGATTATCGACGTTTGATGAGTCACCTTAATGTGACGTGTTTGTGGGCATGAAAAAAGACAAGTCTCGTAATCCAGTGAGCGACTGTGTGCTGAACATTCAATTATTTGGGTGACTGGGTTGCTACACCCTCCCCTGTTTAGGAGAATCTGTGCCAACTGTCTGGATGCAGTTAGCCAAGTAGGCGTATTTTAGTGAGCTGCTTTACCGTGACCTTGACCTTCAAGTAGGGCTCAAATTATCGGTAAGAGTGTTGAAACCTGTGCGAATCTGGGCTGATGATCCTACCGGGGTTTTTCAAGGTTACCGTCAATCATTTTCCTACTCCCCTTCTTCTGCTTCATGCTGACTGAAGTTTCATGCCTTGGACGGTCGTCTAGAACAGCGTTGGCGCCAAAAACCCCGGGCATTCTACATACGCTCAAAGTCTGCTCACAAAGGTGGAATGCGCAGTAAAACTATGCAAACGTTCTGCACGATTTGTTGTTCGTCCAAACCAACGTGCTGATCGGCTCGTTCTTAAATAACCATCGACGAGGGCATTAGGAGGGATTCTCACAACTAATGTGATCTGATTAGGATACTCCTGAAGGGAAGCAGTGGCTACCCCGTTGCCCGTGTGCCTTGTTTTACCAGCGCGCAAGTAAAAATTCCAGGACCGTTTTCCACATTCCATTATTATGTTTAATCAAATTTAAAGACGGACTTTCAAGCAACCCTTCTTCGACACTGTTGTTTAGTTAGGTTCATTCCCGTTTTGTGTGACGAAGTGGTAATAATTAGGTTTATTCCTAACGGCTGGTGGTTTAGTGTTACGCCTGAGGACGAAAGTACAGTTAGAATAAAGGCATAACGTATGTCAATTCCGGCACTTACTAGTGCGTGGAAGTGGACCGCTCACAGAAAAGCGGGTATTGTCTTACACAGACGGATTGCTGCCAGCTACCTACGATGTAAACACGGCAGATCTTAGGGATGAAAAAAACAAGTGGAATCGAGTTAGCATAGCGATAATTGGGGATCGATGGAAAATCGTACGCTGAATTGATGGAACTATGATCACTATTTATAAAACTTCACAGCTGCACGAATGCGATGACCTTGAGTTTCTGGGCTGTCAGCTCATGACAAGCAAAATAAGAATATTAAGTTACACAAAAAAGTGAGGGATAAACGGTAAACTTCCCGGTTCTAAACGGCGTGGAAATTCGTTGGTCTGTTTCATTGGAGTAGAAAAAGTGCTGGCGTTATATAGAACCAGGTGGTCGTCACGAAAACAGATAGGGCGTTAGGGTGGTCAGTATCTTGAAGACCTGATTCAACTGCAGCGTTATGAGACAGACTGAGTGTGGTAGTTGCGATACCGTCATCAAGACGTCATAATCGGTTCAGGGATTGCCCAATATGTGGACCTCTTGGGTAAACAGTTGAGGTTTTTGGGCACTTGGGAATGGACAAGAGATTTTGACGGGAGGGACCAATGTAGAGCGAGAACATTCTCAGGTTCGTCGAGGGCACTGAGTGGTTTTTTATTGTTTTATCGAACGAGGCAATGTGGAAGCCACGCATTCTTCGGAGACCGATAATGTTGAAAAAGTTACTGAGCAGTACAAAGTTGAAGGTTGACAGTGGTTTAAAATTGAAGGCATTTGTGAGTAGTTGAAACTTCTAATAACTGTAGTGACACG